ACGCCTCCCCTCCCTACGTGCTCTCTCAGGTCGAGAAGGCGTCTGCGTCCGCGACGGAGTTCTCGACCGCTTTCAACAATTTCATCGCCGACGGCCCCAACAGTCCCCATGCCGAGATTATCCGCACTGTGTCTATCTTCTCAGGTTCCATTGCAGATGTGTTGAGCAACACTAAGGGTCTCACTCGTTTCGCCAACGACGACAAGAGTGCCGATCAGTTGCTCAACGCCGCGCGTAAGTCGGCTCAGGCGACCGTGCGCTTCTTCCGCGGACTGCAGTCCTTCCGTCTTGAGGGTCTAGAGCCTCTGCAGAAGACCGATGTTGTGATCAACAACAACTTGGAGGTTCAGAAAGACCTGCAGTCGCTGTCGAAGCTGGTCGACGCTTTTGCTCCCAAAAGCAGCAAGATTAGTACCAGCGGCGACCTGGGCGACCTGGTGGACAAAGAGCTTAGCAAGGCTGCTGATGCTATCGAGGCTGCAGCAGCACGTTTGGCCAAGCTTAAGACGAAGCCTCGCGAAGGCTTCTCGACATATGAGCTTCGCATCAACGATGTGATCTTGGCTGCTGCTATTGCCGTTACCAACGCGATTGCCGAGCTGATCAAGGCTGCGACGGAATCTCAACAGGAAATCGTGCGTGAGGGCCGCGGCAGCTCGTCGAGAACGGCTTTCTACAAGAAGAACAACCGGTGGACGGAGGGTCTGATTTCAGCCGCCAAGGCTGTTGCCACCTCGACCAATACCCTGATCGAGACAGCAGACGGTGTGATCTCTGGCCGCAACTCTCCCGAGCAGTTGATCGTGGCCAGTAACGATGTGGCCGCCAGCACTGCTCAGCTGGTGGCTGCCAGCCGAGTCAAGGCCACGTTCATGAGCAAGACGCAGGATCGCCTCGAGGCCGCTAGCAAGGCGGTCGGTGCCGCTTGCCGCGCTCTGGTGCGACAAGTGCAAGACATCATTGCCGAACGCAATCGGGATGAAGGGGAGACCGTCGACTATGCGAAGCTCAACTCGCACGAGTTCAAGGTGCGAGAAATGGAGCAACAGGTATGCTTGATTTTGTCCAATCTGTTACATTACTTTTGCGCGTCTCTTTCGAGGTTGCTGACTCGTTGTTTTCTCGCGAATAGGTCGAAATCCTTCAACTCGAGAACAGTCTGGCCCGGGCACGTCAACGCCTTGGAGAGATGCGCAAAATTTCGTACCAGGAGGACTAAAGTCCATTCCCCGATTACCATTGGGGAGGGTTTCTGGTCTGCAAGGTGTCTATATCCGTGGGTTTTGCGGGATTGCGTTCCGTCCACGTGGTGCTCGTGGTAGAAACAACCTTGATGATCAGAGCCAGGGTGGCGATGTAGTTGTATTTTACTGCTTGCCTCTCGATATTTACAGATGGACAAGTCCGTCATATCCTTCTTTCCCTTCTCTCTTGTGTCTCTAATCCCCGGTCGCTCTGTATTCATTTTGTCCAGTCCGACCTGATTCCTTTCGTTATGCGGTCTCTTCTTATATTCAATATACCAAGACTAGGGAGCAATATATTTCTGTTGTATGTAAATCCTTTTCGCACGAAAATCGATTCTTGCATAGTACTAAGTAGTACTGAACAGACGAACTAGACCCCTGGGCGGCTACACCACAAAAGATACATACTTTCATCCTTTGTCCATCAAAGAAGGCCAAGAACAAAGCCACTTGATGTACCCGAGCTTAGACTAAGCCTCTAGTAGAGATTCCAGATTGCAGAGTGATCGTCCTAAACCCGCATCGAGTTACAGACCAGCTGACAGCCCTCTTGCATCCATCAAGTGCTGCAGTGCATCAATCACAGTCCAGTGTCCACATCCCACACAGACACCCCCTTGCGCGCCCATCGGGTTGAAACTTGACGGGTTCTTTGTCCTCTCATTCGCCGCCGCATTCTCATTCGATCTTCGGCCCTCACGTTCCCTGCTGACAGGTGCCGGTTCGTCTTGGCGCGGGTCCCACCGCAAATCTATCGTGACGCCCGGAGTTTAGAATTAGGGCTAAGTGCGAGTTTCTTTGTTCGTGGATGCACGCTCAATACCAGGGAACAAGGGAACCCCTCTCCCCGCTTTTCTGTGACGTCGTCGAGAATGGTTTGTAAGAAAGTAGGCTTGTAGGAACCCGGCGTAGATCGTTCTCGTTCGCGCTTTGGCTTTGGCTTGGTTCGCAGCGTATCGTATCCCTGCAGTACCTTAGTCTAGTGTGAGGGTCAGCGACTGCATGTCTGGACTTTGCAAACGGTTTCCTATTCCGGCGAGCTGGGTGCGGTGGATACTGACCTGCTCTTTGGACACTGTGCACTGGGTTCTAGGGTCTGTCAGCTAGGCTGGTGAGAGGAGCGGGGCCAGCGGCCGGTTGGATGGACCGCGAGTCCGTCTCATGTTGGATCCGTTTCTTGCTTCTTGCTTATGTTTTGCCAACGTCTTGATTGGTGGGGCTGGTGTGCTCTGTGTGGTTCGAGTGTGATACAGATAAGAACTGTGACTGTGACAGAGTAATGCTGGTGGCGTACCTGGTTCTCGGCCGGGGCTTGTGCTCGAGTCATTGCGTCGATCTTGTGAATTCTGAAGCATGTTGATTCCTGTTCATAGCGGCAGGTGGCGGTAGACTTATGGAACTTGCCACGAGTGAACGGCAGTCTCCAGCTTTCATCCGAGCTTTCTCTACACATGTCTGGGTAGCTGGTGGCTAGCAAGACTGAAGGGAAGTGGATCGAGCTGTCGTTGTGGATGGCTGGTAGATGGAAAATACCGACCTTCTACTTCGTTCGAATTCACGAATAACAGAACGGTGGCGAAGGTGACTGGAACTAAAAGTCTGGAGATCTTTCACTGCATGTAAACTAAGAGGGAAAAGCCGGCTGGAGATGGGTGGCTGGATTGACTTCGTTTCTGTGAAGCTACGTTGTACCCCATACCATTGCGGGTCTGGAGCTTTGAGGTGGCGGGCATGCTGGATCGACGATGTGTTTGTCCCAAGGAAATCGAGAAAAATTGCGAGCTTTTGATCAAAAATTATACTCTGGATTACTCGTCCGCTCAGGAAAAGAAACGAGCCCGTACTCTATGATGCTATACAGAATATACGAGGAGGAATTGTTGTATTGCAGATAGAGTAGAAGTCAAAGTGCCTTAAAGAGCAAATTATCCTGCTTGCGAGAGCGATAAACTACCTCGAAACGATTATCATTATTTTTTTTATCTTTTGAACTAGCTAAGCTAAGCTAATTGATTGAGCCACCGGTAGAAAAGACTTCCACGAGAAGTGTCTGGTGCTCAGGTAAATAAGGAAAGAAATAAAAGACCATGACATCGTTGTAAACTGCAAGCCCGACGGGACCCTTCGAAACCCAGATAACAAACGGAAAACTGCGCCAGACATCCATAACCTAGGCCACCTGATGTCGATTGTAGAACCATGAAAGCCCCAATTCATTGAAAGTCGTTATGCGTCGGAAAGCTGATGTCGTCACGAAAAATAACCACGCTCGCTTCGTAACCGCGATTTGCTTCGACATGTCAATGGAAAATGAATAGAGTACATTCGGAAACAAGACCAGATAGTGTACATATGAAAGAGCTTGAGACATCGTTGAGTACCCCTCCTGCGCGAAGATGATCTGCAGAAGTAGACTCGAGACATCCAAGAGGTATGTGGCCCGACCTCAGTGCATGGTCGGTCAGACGTTGATGTATTGATCAATGTCAAAGGCTCCAAAAGGAGGTTCCTCCAGTGGGTCATAGTTCAGCGGAAAGGGATCTGCGACAGCTAGATCAAAGGGCAAGGCGTCGATAAATGGGAGTTGCATGTTGTTGAGATCGAACTCATTGCCCTGGAACAATTCAAGTTCAAGCTGCTGACCGCCAGGCACGCCAGGTACATCCATAAAAGCCCAAGGATAGTTGTTGACAACTGGTTCTGCCTCGACAGGATCAGGAGTTTGAGTGCCATCTGTCTCTTCGGGAGTTGGGAAATCCACTTCAGGAGTTGCGAAGGCATCATCAGTCACAATGGCATCGTCGCCAGTGATCCGAATGCCGTCCTCTGCTTTGACAACAAAAGCCGGCTGAGCAGCAAAGGCCATTGTGGAAGTATTGTTGCCGTTACTTGCGGTGTGCTTGCCTGGTTTCTCAGACACGTAGCCAGTATCATAGCAGTGTTTCACGATATCGTCAACAGAGTAATTGGTAGAAACATCGGCTTCAGGGATAGTTGTGATTTTGACCTTAGCCATTGTGTATTGCTGCTGGTCATCGAAGTTCAACTGCCAGCCCATCGCGTCGAGGTAGCGAGCGGGTTCAAACAGACCGATGAACTTGGCAGTAATCTCCAGGAACTGATCCAAAGACACCTCGCTCTCATGGTCATCGCGGACGATGGAGTACGCCTTCGCGAGGATTGCCCATTTGGCCTTGAAAGGGTCATTCTGCCACAAGAAGCGAAGAATGCCCGACTTGGCCTTTTGGGTGAGGTCCGGAAAGATGACAGAGTAGAAGCCTATTCTTTATTAGTCTGTGTATCTATACTTGGTGGCAACGTTGAACTCACTTCTGAATGCGATGAAGCTGTTAAGAGGTCTTTTCTTTCCTTCCTGGGTGCGTTTGGCACGAGTAACCAGGGGACGAGGAGTTGCGGCAACTGGAACGGCAGCACCATGATGATTGCCCAAAGCGTAGTTTGCAGTATTGGCAGGAGTTGCATTTGGGAGCTGCAGACCATTGTTTTCCTGGGCTTTGGTGTCTTGGAGGTACTGCAGAAGCTCCTCCAGCTGCTCTGGTGGCATGGTCATCAAAAAGGTGTTGAAAGCACGCTCGAGGGGAGAGATTGCGGCTTCCATTTCGAACAGAAGACTGATCGTCTTTTCTCAAGATTAGAATGTGCAGATACTCTTGAATGAGAAGCTGAAGATGAACAGACGAGAGGCAAGTGTAGACGTAGAAGGAAGCTTTGGAGATCCAATGGGTTGTTGGGATGGAAAGGGTGTTGAAGAGAAGAAGACGACGAAAGGAGAAGAAAAAAGATAAATGTCTTTCAGTGTTCGTCCTCGATAAAAAAACGAGGCTGGTACAATGTCGCACGCTGAGTTTGTGGCAGGATGTAAACAAAGAAATGTCCTATCCTTCACTGAGACCTCTCAACAATCGATTCACCCGCCTCCTCCTCCGGCCCTCTGCAACTGAGCAGAGCTTCCCCGTTACTATTCTTATGCTACTTGGTTTCCATAAAACTTGTAATCCTGCAAGAGTATTATGCTATATATAATAATTACAATGATTCTTTGTGCGAAGACATACAAATGTTGTGCGGAAGGTGATGGACACGGGGTGTTGCTGCTGTCGGAATGAAGTCAGTGTGTCCAATCCCGCCCTATCACTTGTGCTCGAGATGCACCAGCCTAAGTCTCTTCAGGAAATACCTGAGTTGTTGGAGTTATCGGCAAAAGCCGTAACTTGTGTCTGTGAATTCTGCTGGGGAACCCACGAAGGAAGTTGGCTACGATGTCTGGAAGACACTGGAAAGCAGAACGAAAGGGCTGGGCGAACGCACAACCCTGGCAAAAGAGCTTAGAAATATACAAGCTGAGAATTCTAGAGACATTTGATATAGCTCTCCCAGCCTTCTGAGAGAAAGCGTCGTGCTTCATCCCGTCAGTTCTCCAAGAACACCAAGCCCGCTGCCTTGCTCGATACTCCAGCTTCGACGAACATCCCGTCTGATGTCTCCACTCCTGCCATGCTCCAGGGCATGCCAATGGGCGAGATTGATTTTCAATGCTGCTTTTGAAGGTGTTCCAGGTATGGATGCCATCATGACCCCTAACGGCATGCCGGAGGACCAGCAGTATCATTTTGAACCAAATGCGTTCGATCTCATGCATCAGGTGCAGAACGATTACAACAAGGCTGCCCTCTACCAGCAACTTAGCCTTCCCGAGGGTCAGATCGGAGAGAACTTTGAGTTCACTGACTTTATCTCTGACTGCTTCTAGGATGGACTGGAACATGTGCTTCTTCTCTGCTTGTCTTTTTGCCCCTTCTGTTGTTGTTACTTGAGCAAGCACCCTGTGTACATTTCTACATTCGGACCTCTGACTAAGGCTTCGATACATCGTTGCCTTTGACCACTGTACCATACCGGCGCGGATCATTTGTTTTCTTCATTTTCTACCGTGGGCGATGGAAGGATCGCTGATGACTCTGGAGACTTGTTTTCAGAAGATATCAGACGAATCAGTGTAATTACTCCGAGAATATCAGACTTCTAGATAGTCACTTAGTTAGGACATAGCAGACAAACAAATACAAAGAACGGAGTTAACCAGTATATTGCTATCTCGAGTGTTCACTCTCTTTTTTCTAATCTGACTAGCTATCCTCGAGGTCGAGAGTAAGTTCCGCGTGTCTGCTGACCCCCTTGCTGTCAAAGGTTACCCGACAGCTTCTGCAGCCTGTTTGATTAGATCCTAATTCCAAGACATCTGCAAGGTGGTCCGCGAGGCCTGACGGGCCCTTGCATGCTGCAACCGCTTGAGAGCCGTGCACCTGTCATATCCGGTTCCGGCATGCTTGTTGCCGTGGACACCGGAACATGCGTTTCTCAGGGGCCACGAGGTACTTGTGATTCTTGCCCGAGGGAAATCAACTACTATGCCTTTGTTTTAGAAGAGAGACGATAAGTAACCTTCAATCCGGCCAAGTCCTCTGGGGATTCAGCTCGCTGACCACCCTTTTCGTCCCATACTTACTCCTGTTTACAGTCAGATATACCTCGAAGTCTCTCGCTTTACTCCGTACCAAATGCCTCATCATAGAAACCATGATATCTCATACCATTCCTAGCCTTCTAAGTACGAAACCGGGTATCGTTACACTATCATAAAAAGAAAGTTGCCTCAGACACAAAACCTACGGAGCGGAAGGGTTCCAATCGCTAGCCCATATAAATGTAGGACATCGCCACTGCGTCCCCTTTTCCTTGTTTCCGCTGGGCCCAAGTGGCCTCGGACAGATCCAGAACGATCTTCCGCAGTTGATGCCAGGCTTCTTAGTTGTCAGACTGATACATGGTTCCTGGTGACCCTCGCACCTGGGAACAGGCCTTTTAGTGAACAGCTTTGACCAATCCTCCTTGCTGGCAATGGGATCGTGAACAGTATCATCGTTTTGGGACGAAGCGGGAGTCGTAGTAGTCGCGGAATTTGGCTGTTCTCCCGGTAAAGCTTCGCCAGCGGGGGCCGTCGGTATTGCTTCCAATGCAGTAGGTTCCGTAACAGGGGTAGGTTTCCTCGGGAACGCGGCTGATTGATTTGTTGGTACAGTAGACACCGACGCAGAATCCCGGGCTATGGTCGCTTGGCCGGCTGGATCAGTTTTAGGTTTGAAGAACCCCTTCAGAGTCCTCTGTCCAGCAGAGGAAGGTGCTGATGGTTGAGCTGAGCCGGATTTCGAACGCTTGACGGAAACAGGGAAACCTGTCTCACTTTTCTGAGACCTCTTACGAACGATTTGTATCGTTTGAGTGCTATCAGAAACTGCTACAGACTGGCTGGTAGTGCTCTCCGAAACAGCCGTTGGCGTTTCCGTTCCCTGGGTAGAGGCAAAGCGTCTCAACGCCGGGGGATTCGTCGTTGGTGTTTGTGCGTTGGTTGATGATTTACGCGAGAACATGTCCTTGATGCTTCTCCGCTTGTCGAATTCCGGTATCAAGCGTCCCGACGTAGGCAGAAGGTATTTAGTAGAGTATTCTTGCTGACGCTGGCCATCTTTAAACATCCCAGGAGGGTTCATTATGTCGAGAATGCTGACCTCTTTCTCGCCGAGGCGTACGACGTCCTTGAAGACCGCATAAACCGGGCAATGATCGGATCCCTGTTCCAATTGCATAAAGTCAGCTGGTCAATCAATCTACAACAAAGCCTTAGCAACCTTGGGGCTTACCATTAGGCCCTCTTGAATATTCGAATCGCTGAACCAATCTTGCATATCCAGGCTACACAGGACGTAGTCTATTCTCGAGCCATAATTGCCGGGTCGAGCGATGATTCTTTGCTCCCAACAAGTGTACATTCCCCTTCGGCCGGGATGAAACGACCGACAGATATCAAATAAAACAGGAATTTCCCTCCCTTCATCGCGCTGACCAATTACTCTGCCGTCAGAAAGAAGTTGATTGAACACGCGCCGTGCCGGGACAGATATAAACTCGTCCTCTGTTACTGTTCCCTTCCTGATGGCCTCGGTAGCATGAGCTGCATCGATTTCCCCTTTCGCAATGTTGAGGTCTCCTGTGACAAAGACTCTCTTCCCCATCGCAACCAGATTTCGGATGCGAGCATCCATCAGGTCAATAAAGCTATGGCGAAAATTGTCCCGTGATTCATCGCGATTGGCTGGTGAATAGATTCCAAGCAGAACAAATGCAGGAAACTCTAGAATGACGCAACGACCTTCCGAGTCCAGAGTAGCTGCATCAACCTCTAGCTCTGACAGTTGCTCAATGGTTGGATAGCCTCCTACTTGTTGCTCTTCAGGCAGATCTCGAAAAGACACCGACGAATTAGGCGGGCAGAGAACTCCCGCAAGACCTTCCTCTGCGCGGATGGGACAGCATGTCGCATTTCGAGTGTATATCACAACTCCAGAGTATCCTGAAAGATGTCAGAACTGAAAAACATCCCGGATACCTTGGAGAGCGCACCTTTCTTGGTTTTTGGTAAACTGAAGTAGCAGTCCCAGCCAGGTACTAGCACCATGTCATCGCGGAGATCTTTTCGTTGAATCTTGGTCTCCTGAAAAACGACAATATCTGCCTCGAGAATATCAAACATTGACTGTTCTATGGTGAGCCTCTCGTTTAGACTATGAAGGACCTTGGGTAAATCTACCTCGAAGGTTCGGTTGCCTCTCCATGGTTCATACGAGAATGGATTCCTGCGAGATCTCAGCACCACAATTTGCCACTGAGACGTCTACAATACATACCGTATCCCGTTCACTGTTATGCAAATTAACCTTCAATCCGAGTATCCAGCAGGAGAACTGGATTCCGATATCAATCAAGCTTACCGTTCCATGTTGTTATGCGAAACCCCATCGCAGTTGCTGTGGAACGTGTTCCAAGCGCATACCACAGTCAGCCAGAGCTCGGAGAATATCCAAAGCAGACAGTTTTACTTCACCTCCTTCCAATAAAAGCGATTCGTGGTACTTGTTCGTCGTACAGCTGTAGATGCAGCCATACGATCCCGTGATGGCACGTGATATGGAGGCGCCGTGACATCACGCGATGATGGCCTGATTGATGACTAAGGCACCAGCGGCAGCCCGCAGACGAATCACGGGGACGCTAAACCGGCTTTGCTTCGTTAAGCCGGAACGCCCGACGTCCGTATAATCCCACTGTCTGTCAAAGCAGAAGAAAGACGCAACAGCCGTTCGACTGCCCCTCAGCACCATGTTCCCTCAACGCAACATCCTCCGCGCCGCTCAGCAGCTGCGTAGCGCTCCTGCTCGCGCTGCTTTCCAGCGCCGCCTCAACAGCACCGACAACAAGCTTCCTTGGATGGTCGACAACGAGTTCAACCGCGAGAGAGCTGCTGTCAAGCACCATGCTGCTGCCACCAGCGGTTCGTATACTCCAATTGGGCCCAAGAAATTTTTTGGATGATGATACGGACATAATATGCATGATACTGACTCAATTGCCCACCAGACCTTTGGCGCAAGCTCTCCATCTAGTATGTGTTATCTGACGCAATCGACTTCTTTTTCCGCGAATTTATCGAACACTTTACTCACCAATGCCTAGTGCCGTCATCCCCTGCCTGATTCTCGGCGGTATCAACGCCTACAACCTCTGGAACGAGCACTGGGAGCACTGGGAGCACATGCCTCCTCTCGAGGAGCGTACCGAGTACCCCTACCAGAACATCCGTGTCAAGAACTTCCCCTTCGGCGATGGGGACAAGGTTAGTGTCATTTAATAAGATCTCTCAATGGAGTTATTTGCTGACTGGTGATTTTCTGCAGACCATCTTGTAAGTCTCCAATTCATTGGACAATCTTTGTGGATTGGCCATTTCGTTCTATACTCCGATCTATGCCCATTCTCCTTCCATGGTCTTGATTCATTCGCTGACTGTTCTGCAGCTGGAACGACCAGGTCAACTACCACAACAAGGACAAGGCTACCTAAATTCCTTATAGTAAATAAGGACAACAGCTTCCATCAATCGATCTCGTCGCGACGAGAGCAATTGAAAGCATGTATATTTACTGCACAAAATCGGGGCGGAAATCGTTGTGAGAGTGTGCACTGGGGCTTTTTTGGTGAAATGACTAGGAGTTACAAGACCAACGCTGATTGATTTCCCTTTTGTTACACACAAGTCCTTCACTCTTCTAAGGTTCTTGGAAAACGAGTAGAATGCGCCTTCATTCCTATAGGTAAGGACTCGGAGTGATTTTCCGGGGACGTCCCATGGATATGCTCTGCCGCGCAGCAGTCCAGTCCGGTGTACGACAGGAGTTGTCTGCTCTCACGATTTCCCATATTCGTTATAACGCAAAATGTGGTACTATACACCGGCAATGCATGCTATACCCCCTTCTCACTCAATTTCTGCAGATCCAGGTACTTAGCCGCGTAGTCATTCGCAAGGACCAAGTCGCCAGTGAGGTGCATCACCGTGGCTTTCTTGGCCATCATCTCACATTGACCCTTGATGTCTTCAATTTCTTCATATTGGTCGTAGGCGCAGTCGAGGTAGCCAAGGGCACGGTTCATGTGTTCCTTTTTAGCGGGAGTGTCCTGTCCTTGAATCCACGCCTTTCCAGCCATTCCCATATTCGCGTCCACGAGAAGCGAGTACGCCCGCGCCGCTAGATCACAGTCGTCGGTCTCGAGGACCTGAGGCATGATGCTCTCAACCATCTCATTCACAGCTTCAAATTCTCGTAGACTTAGCAGGACTCCACCAAGCACGCAGATTGCTTCCCAGAGACCCGGAAAAAGCCGGGAGCGGTGCGCTATACTGGCGGCTCGCATCGCTAGAGAAAAGCCTCGTTGCGGATGGCCTGTTTTCTCGAAGATGCGCGCTTTGAAACAAAGCAGCTTCACCTGAGAGTGGATGTCGAAGTTGTCTTGATGCATGGATTGAGCCGTCTGCTCGACAATTTCCAACGCCCGGCCATAGTCGCCTTGTCGGATTTTGTATTCGATTGAAAGGAAAGATAGTAGAAGAGAGGCGTCATTGTCAGGGAGCTGAATCGCTTGAAGCTGGGAGAGAAGGTAGTCTGCCGCCACTTTATCATCCCTAGTTCATTATTAGAAACCACTTCTTCGTTGAGCCAAGAGAGAACATACCGGCAGATGTGCCGCCTTAGTTGCAGTATACCAGAGAAGAACGTCCATTGTTGGTTCGCTCTGAGAGGTCGTAGCTTTTCTGGTGTGACCTGCTTCATATGAGATGAGATATCAGCGTAGCGACCCTGCTGCGCCAACTTTAGGAGAGATTGTCAGAAAGCAGATATAGAAAGTTCAAGAACAATTGGCATACCAGTTGACAGCTACGGAATGTACTTTTCAGATAGTCCTCGAACGGTGACTTGTTTGCGTAGCATTCGCGAAATATTTCGCTACTCAACCACGATAGATGGGTAACGCCTGCCGATGTTAGAGCCTGGGCTAAGAAAAATCCACATGCGTAGGTCGGGTACCAATTCTGGCATAAAGCGCAGTCTGTAGTAGAAGCTGTGGTCCCATCGATGCCACCAAATTCTTTGTAATATTGAGATGTGATGCCCGAACGATGTTTTCCATGGAAGACGCAAGACTCTCCCCCTAGTATTGTCAGGACTGTATACAAGAACAACGGTACGTAGGAATGCTCACGTTCTGCAGCTCGAGTTTGGCTTCACTCAGCAATGTAGTGCTCAGCAGACTCCACATCTCAGTCTCCTTCGCTTTAGCCTTCAGGAAAGCAAGACCTTCCTTCTCGTTTCCGAGCATTCCCGAATTCTGGACGTCTTTCATCTGCTCAGGGAAGGCTTTGCCAAAGTGATACAGCCAGCTCATACAAAAGTTTAGACAGTTCATGTCGTGGGACTCTCGGGCAATCGAGACAGCCTCTTGCATCGCAGAAACAGCTTCTCCATAGCATCCGAAATCAGCCTGAAGGATTGCGAGGTTGAGCAGCGCATATTGATATGAGCTCCGGTCACGACTATGCATTGTATAATCGAAATATCTGTGAAGATTGTCGAAGGATGAAGGGTAGTCTCCGGCTCTCCATGCATCGAGGAATCTGAGATCGTCAGCGACGGCGGGTTTCTTCGCGAACTCGGTCTCACCTTAGGTAGTAAGTCAGGTCGGGTATTGCAACGCCAGACGCCATGATACGTTCGAGCTGCACTTTCATGCCGTCTGGGACTCTTCCTCCAAGCCCTGCATTCCGTTAGCAAATGTGCATCATGAATACGCACGTTCAAAGGGGACGTCTGCGTACTTTGTAGCTCGCCAATCTGAAACTCTAGGAGTCGTTCGACATCCTTAGTGCTGACATAGGTTCCGTCCTCCTCTTGTATTTCGATATTTCCATAAGCCACTTGAGCGAGGTGACTCGTGGAGTCCAAATTAAGCTCCAGTAAATTGATGTCCACGGGGTCCCGTTCGGCAGATGGATTCTTCTTTGACCACACACGGTACGTGGGCAGACGGTAATGCACGAAGCCCTTCCAAAGTTTGACTGAGTCATGGAACTGAAGCCTAGTAAACTCGAGCTGGGCTCTTCTCACGAACGCACCGAGTGGTGAGCATCTTGAGAGTCGCATACGACCGGTCTCAGGCGCCAGGCCATTATCCCTGTCGCGGATTTGTTCTTCCCGAGACTTGACAAGGATATCGCTAATCTCAGTGAAAAATACTTCCAAAGCGTCACAAGAATCAATAGACCAGATCTTCTTGAGAAACAAGTCCCATATCGAACGGCCAGGGATCGAGGAAGCTTTGGATGAAAGGGCGTCCTCCAGGTCATCAATGGCGACGATATAGTTGCTATCGCCTCTGTTTAGAGATAAAGATGCATCTGATCCCAAGGGACTGAGACATGACATAAGAAAAGAAAGGACATCAATTGCGGAGGAGTTGGGAACGACTCCATCGGTGTAAACGGAGATGAGACACAGAAGAGCGATCTTCGAGGGAGTCAGATAGCGACTCATCTTGCTTCTCTTTTTCTTCTTCGACCTCTTTTATCTAATTCTTCTTTCACATAGTTAACATCCTTTGCCGGAGAGGGTTCAACCAACAATGGAAGGACTATGCTGGAACTTCACTGCGCGATGAGACCATCGGCGCGTCCTTTGTATACAAACACGCCGCGTCTGAGTCCCAACTATTGAGCTTTATCTTGGAGAAACATAAGATCCAATGATATCGAGCACACACAAAGTCTGATCGGTTCTATGTTCAAAGCAACTCCTATGGAATGTGCTCTGCTGGTTCAATTCAACCGGGCTTCGTTGTTAAGGGATTTTGCAAGGTACATAGTTGATGCCTGAGGCAGAAATTGATTGATAGCGGACCCCGCCAAAAAACTTATCGATTATCGGGACATGACTCGCTTTTAGTCACATCTTGAGATTGTCACCGCTGCAACTCTTCATCCGTGCAATTACAGTCATGGCCGAGGCACTTACAAACACGGATCTCCAGGGTGCGCTGCCCCTGATTGCACGGGGCAAAGTCCGCGATCTGTACGAAGTCGACGACAAGACTCTTCTTTTCATTGCGACTGATCGCATCTCCGCATACGATGTGATCATGGAGAATGTACGGCTCTACGTCTTGGATGTGCCAATGGTTCTCCATATTGGATCTGCTAATGATTGTCTCTTTAGGGTATCCCGAACAAGGGAGTTCTTCTGACATTATGCACAAAAGCATGGTTCAAGATCCTCACCGACGCTATCCCCTCTCTGCGCACGCATTTCATTACCCTCGACCTCCCGCCCCAGATCCCCCCTTCACTTCGGCCAGTCCTTCAGAACAGAAGTATGCAAGTGCGCAAGCTTAAGATCCTTCCCATCGAAGCCATCGTCCGAGGCTATATCACTGGATCCGCTTGGAACGAGTACAAGAAGTCCGGTACCGTGCACGGAATCAAGGTCGCTCCGGGTCTGAGGGAGAGCGAAGCCTTCCCCGATGGCCCGATCTACACTCCCAGCACCAAGGCCGAGCAAGGCGAGCATGATGAGAACATCCACCCTGATCAAGGTATGCATGGTGCTCCTCGCTTCGGGAATGTTTATCAAGTTGCAGAATGGGCCTAGAGCTGACAATATCCCGATGTACAGCCGCTGCCATTCTTGGTGAGCATGCCTCGACCGTTGCTTCCCTGGCTGTACAGCTGTACAAGGCCGCGCACGCCTACGCTCTGTCGCGCGGTGTCATCATCGCGGACACGAAATTCGAGTTCGGTGTCGACGAGGAAACCAATGAGGTTGTTCTGGCTGACGAAGTCCTGACGCCCGACTCGTCTCGCTTCTGGCCCAAGGATGATTATGAAGTTGGCCGCGGCCAGCAAAGCTTCGACAAGCAATTCCTTCGGGATTGGCTCGTCAAGGAGGGACTGAAAGGCAAGGAGGGAGTCCGGATGACAGAAGATGTCGTACAGAAGACCGCGGAGAAGTACAAGGAGGCTTGGGAGAGGATCACGGGGGGCAATTAGATTACACTAAATCGCCCACGAACGACGACATTGAATCGCAGCTTCCGACCAAATGAATAGTTATCGGTAGCGTCTATAAGAGAATAAGTTTTTGTACGATTAGTATAGTACAATTACATAGAGTTTTGATAGAGTAGATCACTATTCCCACTCCGAGCGCAACCCCTTTAAACCCTTCGTCTTTCCTCCTCCCAGTTGACTACCCTTGTCCTCGGGATGATAGGAAGGAGAGTCGCCCCTCCAGCCAGTTCTGACTCCCTCATCAATAGGCAGCGCATCTGCACCGCAGATCCGCTTCTCATCCTCGAACTCTTCTTCGCTGATCCCGTTGGTAGCCCAGATACGATGGATTCGCAAGTCGTAAGGACCATCGACCCGATCTGTAAGACCGATACCGACACTCTTCACTCGCTGGCGGAGAAGAGATGTTTGCGGCTCGACCACAAGGCCGTGGTTCGTACGAACAAAGGAGTGGAATGGCAGGAGAATGGTCTCCCAGCCCGTGCCGCCGGATGTTGTTGCGGAAGAGGACATGATTGTCGATTCGGGAGGGACGTCGGAGAGCGAAGGAGGAATTCCGCGCGGGAATAGGGTTTCTGCGAGCTCTGGTGACTCGGCTGCTTGCGACGGATATGAGGAGAGATCGTCACGGGAGGTCTGGTTTTGCACGCGGTGATGACGAGTATATAATCTATGCTGGTGGATATCCGTCTCGACGATCGAGTCTGTCTGGATATTCACGGTGTATCGCCGACCGTCGGACTTCACTCTAAGGGCCAGGTAGGAGTATGGGTCGACATCCCAGTATAGTCTGCCGAAGAGCCAGAAACCTCGGTCCTTATTGCGAAAAGCGGCATAACCTATTGGTTTTCAACGGTAGTTAGTTTCCAGATTATAGCAAGCTATGTCAATGAGAACAATCCAACGTACCCGTCCTCTCTACTCGCCAATTGTTAGGTAGCTTCGTTGAAATGCTCCCGTGAAACCTCGCATGGGCAGGTGTGTTCGTCGAAGGGTCTGCAGGGACATAGTCAAGACTGGCAGTGCTGAATCCACCAACGGCACGGTCGGCCATGGTCTTGCACCCGGCGACGGTGGATTCATCTTCAAAGTCGAGGAGAGTGTAGGGCTTCGTAGGAGTATGGAGACCTTCGGAGTTCCAGGCTATACAACACAATGATATCAGAGGCTGTTTATATTGCATGCGCAGTCGATAATTGAGCGCAGCAACAGAAGCAATGATTACCCACCGATCCTCGATAGACGGCTCAGCTCCTCCGCGCTGCGCTTGATAAATCCTGCGGGTTTGGCGGACAGACACCTAGCCGTGGGAAACATGGTTTATTGTTTTATTTGCGCTCGCTCCCTTGAGTAGTGAAAATATTACCGGAATAACAAACGATCTGAAATATTCGTGATTTGATGTTTGGGTGTTGGAGAAGCTGTTCAGTATATAAATCATAGACCAGGATTATATGAAATGATGGTGATGTCGCCAAGCTGCGTACTGGGCTACTCCGTCCTCCGTAGTGTTGATCAATCATTCGCCCAATAATCAATTGCCGATTGATCGGCCGAAGATAAGATCAGATCGATAATCATTGCTTTATTTATTTAGCCTCATCCACCCACTTCCATCACATCGATCTATACACCTACACTGGTCCTACACTTTAGCAGCTTGACAGCCTTACAAACCACTTCTGGCTTTTCGACTCATTATGACAGCAGATTTTGCTTAAAGTTTTTCACGAGAATGTTTCGGACTGAATAATCCCTGCATATGATGTATTTTTGTCCTGCCTTGTGACCTTTGCCAGTGAAATTTCCTGGAGATCCATGGGATGTGGAGGACACGGACAGAAAGGATGCTCGGTAAGTTTACTATCCGGGCGAAATTTACGGTCATGTAACTTTAGGAATTGAAAGGCCTTCGAAACCACCCCAATAATGGCTGCGCGCTTTGGCTTAAAGCCGTCAGGCAAATGAAGCAATGAGGAAGACTACCTCCGAGCTTGCAATGGTCAATCCGTTCAACAGTGCAGTACATATCTATCTGCTCACACTTGGAGGCGGAGAAAGGGCAGAGCCCGTGAAAATGCGTTTCCTTGCATCCTGAATTGAGAGCCTCATACGCGACATTCGACATCCGCAATGGAAACATCTATACAATCTGTCCGCGTCCTTTGTCTTTTGACTGGGTACGGGTCTTCAGCTCAGCTGTTCTGCGAGTTTCGATACCAGTTGGCGTCATGATTTCTCAAGTGCTCCGTCCAGGAGCTAGACCAGCTCAGAGACGAGAGAACCATACTATGCTCCAACATTATTTCTGGAACCGCCAGGAAAGTAAGAAGAGTGGTAGCCAGCAGTGGACTTTAAATCCCCCGCAAATGCCACCCTTCTGCTCTGACTTTTTTCATTTCTTCCCATCGTTCGACAAGTACTCGACTGATCACCAAACGACTCGCTTCTACACTCGTTTATTTTACAGCCCTCAGGCTCAAGAACTCCTCCACTCGTTAAAATCTCGCTCTCCTTTTCACATTCGACATGGCTATTCTGGGCCTTCTTCCGAACCCAAACTGGCCCCAGCAGCCTCTTCCTCCTCGTCTGGACAGGCAGTACACGACAATCACGGCTGAGAACGCTCAGGGGCTGTTTCCCCCAGACGCCTGTATATTCGTCGGAAAGTGAGTAGTAAGATGTTCTCTACTTGATAAACTAGAGATTCTAACATACATTAGTTTGAAAATTACCCTCGAGGACAAAGACCTAGTACGGGATGTCCAGCAAACGTTCTCTACTTTCGGTCCATGTCATGTCAAGGTCAAGCGTGACAAGCGAACAATCCCCACGGCCTTTGTGCAGTTCGAGGTGGGCACTCCCTGGCTCTTGTCATCGTCCTGTGGTGTGGCCCCGTAATTAACCTAACCTCTTACAGAAAGTTGAACATGCCGTAGCTGCGCTGGCAGAGAACGACCTCATCAAGCTTCACGACCGCTGGCTGAGAATCGAAAAGATCAAGGGAAAGAGTATGACCCATTTTTCTAACCTCATCCTGTTGCTGAACATCTACTGACGCTAATATAGGAACTGCGCGCCTTGGACACCGGTCTGGGCTCCCAGTGTCTCCGCATGACTTTGAAACGGCTCTTACTGGCCGAGGCCATTTTGAATCATGTTTTCTTGAAGAAGTCTTCTTCCTGGACCTGGGTTTTCTCACGACTGTTTTCACAGTTACATTCGCCTATATCGACGACTACAGAGACGCCATCAAGGTCAGTACACCAATCAGCTACGCCCCAAGACTATGTGCATGTTCTGAGTCAATATCAACAGGCCTTCGAAAGACATCCGATGTACTACCTCCAGCCGTTGGACATTGAAGGCAACCCTACATTTTCCTGGGTACTGCCGCAACCATCCGGTCCCAGCTCTTCTTTCAGACGCTCGCGCAGCAAAGAAGCCCGCGATGCCATGCGGGACCAGGGTCGTTCACGGATGCCTCTTCCCGCCGAGTTTCAGCCAAAGACTGGCAACGGCAAGACCGTCGAAGACTACACCCGAGAAATTAACAGTCTCCCACACTTCGGCTTGAGCGAGAACCTGGTCCTCGACGTGGTCGAAGAATTAGAGGCAGAACAACGACACAAGTGCCTCAGTGAAGAATGGACCGGGTCTTCATCCAACGGCACCGAACCCACGCCTGCTACAACTACCGATAACGATTCGACAACACCCGACGACTCCTCCGCTGTTGGCTCGGATGCAGACGAATTAACCTCGGACTCGCGCTCGCGCTCCAAAGGCTCGTCCAACACGGCGTCCGCCTCTAGCACGGCCGACTTCGAGTCTCTCATCGAGTCGACATCCACCTCCACCACGACTTTCACTTCCTACCTGGAAGTCGTCTCAGAGTGCGTAAAAGACTCCAGCAGAGGACGAAGATCTGGAAGCCGCAGTGTTTCAGTGAGCACCGGCTCACCCCCACGCCTACGATTGCGCTCCTGCAGCTCAAGCGCCGATTTACCGCCTCGGAAACCCGATACCGAACTATTCTTCAGCAACGAAGACAACCACAACCACAACCACAACAACGACAAGACGGAGAAGCCGTCAATCTCGGACTTGGACTCAAACACCATCGAGTCCAAGTCCCCCTCCAACTCCAACTAAACGCATGCCTGGCCTGGCATGCAACAAGTCCTTCTCACTTCGATGCGAGGAGGCAACCGCGTTCCAGTTTTAACTGGAGGAAGGGTGCCGGGGGCGGGATGGTGGGAATCAGCAGTCAAGCTGGTTACCGGCACTCAAGCATCAATTTGGTACAAGACATTTTTGTTATATGGCGTTTTGGAGTTGGACTTTGTTTTCGCAAGGTGGTTATGGCCGATGTGTATGAATTCTTGGATGATTCAGGATCAAGCTCTATACCCTTGTGATAATCCTGACGGATGGAGGAAATGGGATAATGTCTATTCGGTCTATATATCTGGTTGAATGATATGAGAATACCAGGCATGTATGTATATTTTGACTGGGATATCATAATGACCAATACAACTTGCTTCAACCTTTTTACTTAGAATATCTCTCGATGCAGTGCAGAGAGCACACTGCACCTTGTCGCAAAACCACCTAGGTATTTTTAGAACAACGCTGCCCTAGGAACCAGGGGGTTGAGCGTATTTATTCGTGATATCATAATGATCAGGACATTTTGTCAAGCATGAGTCAATCCTTTGGTCTAGACCGTGTCAAAAATACAAGGAACCGACTGTAATAACGAAACATAGTCATATCCCGTAAATTAAGGCCATTTGATATCATGCCATGAAGTATCTTAACATATGTGTATGCTGCGCGCCGAGTGCGATGAACCACCCATCCCATATGAACGCCGGGTTCTATATAAGTCACCGTGAATGCTCGCAAACCATGCAACAGAAGCCAAATGCGATGACAATAAGCATATGTTTGCGCACCGAGGTTCTCACATTCCAAACGCTTTCTTCAAGTGAAACAGTCGATACCAGAAAATGCACAGGCGGCATGAAAATGATGCAAATGTAATAAAGACACAATAGTTGGAGTGAGCGAGCGTAACCGGTTGTGGACAAGAACGAGTTAACAAGTTGAAAGACCTCGGCCAGGAGTTCTTTCAGAGCCATGTGTCGAGAAATGAGAGGAAGAGGGAGGAAGAGATGCGATTGGATATGATATCAAACTCAGGGGATATGAAAGAATCGAATGAAGATACAACACCAAAATGACAAAGCAGCAAGATGATATGTACAAGGGCATGACGTAGATAGATGAGAAGTCAACTAGATCTTGACGTGCTAGACCCTAACACGCCGGGCATCAAAGTATCCTAGACTGACTGCAGTGTCGTTGGTACCAGCAATGGGGGCAGCGTCTTCGAGGAGTTCCCATGGACGTACAGGGTAAGCTCCAATGGCCCGGCCACGGTATTGAAGACAAAGATGGCTAGCAGCGCAGTTCAAGCCATCTGGCAGTCCAGTCGGCACACCTGAAACGAATGCAGGTTGTTGGGGGTGAGAGAACCCGCCTGTGGGATTACCCGAAGGAGTAGGGGCGGGAGTGGAGCCAGAAGCAGCAGGTGATGGAATGGATACAGGAAGTGTAATGTTAGAAGATGGGCTATCGCCAAGGGGACCAAGAAGGTAGAGGAAGCGCGAGTCATTCTGAACTCGAGCGAAAGGAGGGCATTTCTCCCTCAAATAGCGAGCGCATTGATGACGGGCTTCATCAGGAAACGTATCAATCAGGGATGCTGCAACATCCAGGGCATGCGTCTGCAGCAGGATACCCGGACAAGGACGACAATCTCCTGCCGTCATCGAGTGGGGAAAGTAGTCGGCCGCTGGAAAGAGTCGCAACACACTATCTGGAAGACGCGCGAGAGTTATGCAGAATATCGATATCAGCAAGCGCGTTTGCTCTGGCAATGCGCTGGGTCTGACTGCGGCTGATGGCACACTGAAAGCAGTTCGATGAAGGACAATCATCCTGAGCAACGCAGAGAACCAGAACGCAAGGGCTCTCTCGAACTGCGTGCGTGATCGGATCATATGTTCTGCGTCAACTCCATGACTAAGCTCAGTAGTACCACTGTAGTTCGCTTGCATGGTGATAAGTCTTTGGAGCAGTAAATCCATCTTCTCGGTGAGGACAGGGACAACAGCCTGTGGGCCCACATCGGGAATGCTATACGCCAGCTTCTCGATGATCGCCAGGTACAGTTTCGCCGTTTCGAGTGAGCTGCTGTTGTCTGCAGCAAATGACGAACAGCCATCGGGTGACTCCTCAAACAAGGGTATAGCGAAGAAATTTTTCTCGGCTCGTTCTCGAATCTAGACAAATTAGTCTGGAAACCGTATTGAGCCTTCATCGTGGCACCTTACCTGTCGGACTGCATCATGGCTCATCAGACGAACCAGTCCCACCCAGTTGGATCGTCTTGAGCGAGAGTCTGCAACTGCAGCTTTGAACATCACGTCCACTATCTCATTTCTCACATCGCCCTTAGTCTCCGCGTTGAATAGAAGCTGGAGCTTCAATCGACAGAAAGGAAGGGAGAAATCGTTGGTCAGTTCGATGACCTTTTCAGCAACAGATATGTCTGGGGCCGCTGGACCAGTGTCAATGGTAATGAAGATAAAAGAACCATTTGAAGTGAATAAGCGCTCACCTGCTTTGGTATCCAATCCCAGAAGGGAATCGAGCGCTCTTGTCAAAACTGTCACTGCAGACGGATGCTGACCAATCAGTTTCTCTGTGCAGTGCTTAACAGCACTTTCTGGATTCTTGGTGAGCAAAATCTGAAGGAGTACCATCGCACTGTGACCTAGATCCACTTGTCGATAGTTTCCTTCTTGGCTTTGCGAATCAATCAAGGCGATAGCATCCCGAATAATGTCGAAAACCTCCTCAGGGTGCTTGAACAAAAATTCTTTCCGTGACAGATGGAAGCGATATGTGACCATGTCGAAATATCGACTCTGACCTGCCGGTGGAGGTACAAGAAGCTGAAGAAGATCTATGCGCAAATCTCTTTGGTTGGACATCATATTCTCGGACTTGAGAAGCCTTCGTACGAGGAACACGAAGGCTTGAATGGTAACGCATCCAACGCCGATCAAAGGAGGCAGGACTTGGGACAGTATCCCTCCGGTGGTGGATCTGAGAAGGCCACAGATCCAGCGGACTATCATGATGTCGAAACGCTTGGGATGAAAAGGTCTGAGGTACGACAAATACCTGCATGTTTCATTCACCGAGAGCTTAGCATGACCACCGCTGGATTCTATTTGTTTGATGAGAAGGTTAAAAATCGTATCCAACGTGGACTCATCTATACCACTTGCGGACGAGAGGAGCTGGTCTAGCTTCAACAGAAAGAGCGGATCGGTTTCATTGAAAGAAGAGGGTATGTGATCAGACAGTGGTGATGGTGCTGCCATAGATGATTTGCTTTCAATCCGGGAGAGGTCCTGACGGAGAAGAGCAACTGTATTGAGCTCTCCGGGTAGCCGAAGCCCAAGGTCTATCAATGAGAAGATCAAGTCCAAGGAGGTCGATCCAAGCCGTTTGAGACGGGCATATGACTCTACCAATCTCTTGAAAAGATCGGTTGTAGCACCGATAACACAGAAAGAACGAAAATGATAATTGACTGTATCGGCAGCGGATGCCAAAACAATTCCGTCATTGCAAACGGTGGCCTGCTTGAGTACGTCCGCAAGAATTGAAAGATCGCCGAAACTTTCCAAAATATCCCTGACGGTATAGAATTCGCCAGGGGTGAGTGCGAAGTGCTCTGCGCTAGGGGCGGAATGGAGATCCTGAAATGCGCGACGAGGATCCCGCCCAAACTCAGTAACTCCACGCCGAATCCACTGACCAAGCTCAGATTTCACGGCCCAGGTCAGATCTGACGGTAAAGGGTCACGGGATACTGCACTTGTCGCGACAGAACCAAAGATCCTTGGGAGACGTTCGGCTATTGATGCCTTGAGTATGGCGATGGTAGAAGACTCTTTCGACACTTCGACTCCGGCGCGATGCAGCAGAGTGTTACGGAGGTTGTGTACATGCTCAGGAAGACGGCTCACAGGGAGCTGCATGAGAAGTGCAAGGTCCCCCGAAAGGGGCTGATGGTCGGAGTTTTGGGGAAAATCTGCAACCCCCTTTGCCATCAACCACTGAAGGTACTTTCCAACCGAAAATGTCTGGGATCTGACGAGCTCAGAGACGATATGATAGATGTTGTCCATATTCAATTGGTCTCTCATCTGACTCTCGCCAAGGAAGGAAATGATGCTGGTATCCACGTCGACTCCAGCGATCTTCCATTTCCGCAGGAGGCGGGCGCCGGTATAAACACGAGATACACCATAGCGAAACGGAGTCGCTGCCCACTCGAGCAGTTTGAGAACCAGAGCAGCCTTGTCATCTATCGCACCCAAAGATGCAGCGGAAACAGATGTGATGTCGTTCGAAGAGCCTATCGAGTCGAACAGTTGGATGACGCGTTGCTGTGGCGGTTGTTGTGTTGTCTCTTCACATTTCCGAGGCCTCTGCACCCGCGCATTTCGCTCAGCCAAGTTTTGAAAGACCGCTCTATGCACATTGTCGTTTAGGTCCAAACAGGACGATAGGAGATCTTTGTACTTTTCCCATGACTGTGGAAGCACCATGGATGAAGTATGCTCAAGAGTTAGTTTTCTGATATGCAGTGACAATCGGTCTGTCAACGGGCGAAGGGATGTGGCCGAATCCGACTTGATAGCTACTTGCAGTTTGTCAAGCAAGAGTTCAGCGAGCCGCCGTCCTCGCTTCCTATATCGCAGTATGTTGCTCCAGTAGATTCCTAACATTAGAAGCCAGACTGGCAAGGTGTTAAATGGCGCTGCCTCCAGCGATGTGAGGAACCACCCGAGATACTGGTCATGGTCAAGCAGTTGCTCGAAGAACAAACGAGCGGTCAAGCTGACCGCGTAAGTCATCTTCATCTTCCAGTCTGCTACTCCACAACTAGTGATTACACCTTCGAGAAACTGTTGGACATTGGCAGTCCAGTCGCGCACCCATTTAGCTTCCAGGCCAATGGCCAATGCGCCACTGGTACCTTTCCTTTTGAAAGCACGGATTTCGTTGGCGCCGACGCACTTCGCAAGCCACACAGCACGGCCGACAGGAACCCATTTGGTCAAGCATTGATCTAAAAGAACTCTGCCTCTGATACCATGAGGAATGGTTCGACTAAGTTTGCGCAGCGGGACATTCGGATTCGCGAGATCGCGGAGCCAGGCCTCACGTTTGTTGTCCGTCAGCGTGACTCGCGGAGGGGGCTTGAATGTTGACGGCGCAGTGACCATGTTATGGCCCTGTCTTTTCTCCAGTGCGGCTGCAAAAACCGACGACAGTATTTGCAAGCCAGAGCGATGTTTCAATTGCGCATACAGGGAGGGGCGAGCTGTATTGGACTCATTTTGAGACACCTGCGTGCGATCGTAGTATCCTTGCTTTGCCGTTTGCTCATTAAGTACGTCTTCCGGATGATTGCCCATCCATGGGGAGAAATCCGCAACCTCTGCAAGAGAAATCAACAGTCAGAGACGGCTTTCATGCTTCTTTCGTGTTGAAGGGTATTGACTCACTCTCGCCTCTAATAACTGGTGCAACAGAAGGGGTCTCAATATGATATGGTGTAGTTTGCACCTCCTTTGACGGTGCACCATCCTGTGCTCCTGCGGAATCACTTGCTATGGTATCTGCTGGAGCAAACTTCCAAGGTGGACCAGGAAATGAAGGCGGTGGTGGGGGCTTCACATCCTGCACGACACCTGCTGCACTTTCACCATTGATCTCTGCGCTTCCAGATACCTCAGAGAGTAATGCTTGAAATGACCACACCGGACGTGCACGCCAGGACAGCGAAGGCGGTTTCGAAGTTGTTGCACTTGGAGTACTCTTTGATTCTCCCACACCCGCAGAGGCTGGGCTTCCATCACCAGCTACTGACCCAGCATGCACATCTATTTTCAGTCTCTTCGCCGGTGGTTCGCGCTCTAGCACATCACCGTCATTCGTTGTCAGATCGATGAGTGCCGGTGGTCTACCTTGTAGTTGCGGCACCGGCATAGACGGCTGTTCGGGCTGACGGTCAGGCTGACCCAGGGGCTGCGAAAGGTCGGCACGTCCAGTACCGCTATAAACGGCGTGAAGGGGCTGACCCCAGGATTGAACGCCGGCAGAAGAATGAGGTATCATCTCAGCTTCATGGCGTATACAAGCATCGGTATCTGGATCATCGGAACAAGTTGAGGAGGGTATCGACCACTTAAAACTGTCCGCATCAAATCGCGTGTGTCTTATAGGATGCTTCGCAGTTTATTGAACAGGTGGAAAATGGCGAGATGGTATTCGAATTAATTTACGCCCGATCAATGGGTAATCAGGATGAAGCGGTTCGGATGGATATGGCGGCGCGGGTGGTGGGTAATCGTGCCGGTGGTAGGAGGATATGGTCTCGGACGATCGGGGGAACGCACTATTGTACAAACATTACTCAACGGTTGATTGCTGATGAAGGATGGCGGAACTAGAGCAAACAAACAGGACTCAGAAAGGGGACTGACGCAGAATATGAAAAAGCAATATAGGAGAAGGCAGATGAGAGATCCAGCCGAGCCCGGAGACGGAGATAATACTAGCTAGTCAGATCTCCAGATAACGTAAGGTGACCAAGGCGCATACCTCCGACGGAATTCAGCAGTCAGTTACCGTGGGGGAGGAATGGAAAGTAGACTACTCCGTACATTGTACACTTTTCTTTACTATCCAATAAGTACCTAGACCTTAGCTATCCGTAGTCTGTGATACCTCTCCAAACGCTCCCTTATCTACTAAGTAGTAGTTTCTAGCCGGGATTCGAGATCGTAATAAGACATAGCAGATCCAATTACGGATCTGGAATCTGTGGTTCATGATCATGGAAACAGGCCAACAATGATAATGATCAATAGTCATCACGCAATTTTATCTGTCTTTAGGGACTTGGATCTCTGATGGTGTTCCGCTCAATCTTTACGGAGAATCCGCCTGTCAGCCGTTGATTGTTGTCTCGGCTTATCCGGCGAATCATTCCACAACCCAGCACTTTTGAAGATCTCAGGGTATCAGGCGATCGCCTTAGCCTCGAGATTTCAAGTGCCTACGAGGCTATGGCCCAACATATGACCGTATGTGTGTGCGATCAACAAATAACTACTCCGCAGTACCTAACTATTTTCTGTTACCTACCTTATTCGTCCTGCCTCTCCCAATAATGTGTAAGACTCCACTGATCCCCGAAAGTGGGCAAGTGTCACTTCGGAGAGAGCAATTTGTTTGTGGCACCACACTCACTGTTGTGACACGGTGAAACTTGACATGGACACTGATGATGGACAAAGGAGTCGATGTTCGGAACCTTGCAGTGAAGATTTGAGGTTAGAGAGGGAATCAACCCCCACCAATCATTGGATATGTTAACATCATGTCGCAACGTTCGATGCCCCTAAGTAGAAATACATTTGTCACCAGGAGGTGATCGGCTCATGCATACCTGATTATTATAGATGGCCATGCAAGTACCGCATCGGTTGCAAATTGGTCATATTGTCAGCAGTAAATAGACAACGGGCTACCAGGAGCATCCCGTTGGAATTTGACCCTACTAGATGCATACATAGACCCTGGTAGCTTGCGCAGTTGTAGGTCTGCTAACAATAGATAATCAAACCCTCAAAGGCTCATCAGCCACCCCTTCTGATGCACAGTATCAAGATGTCCCATCCCAGCTGCAGACTGGAGCAGGACTGTGGCGGTCAGAGTCAAACTTTTCAGATCCTATGTACGTGCACCCGTGGATGAGACGATACCTATCTAGCAGGCGCCCGGCCATTCAAGGACCCAGGAAGACCTTTCAAATGCAGGAGATCATATCTGTGAAGTATTCAAGATACCATTATGCATAGCTTTGGCTTCTGAATGGCCAATCTACAGCTGTACCTGTGCTTCATGCATGTAGAGATGATGGGAGGGAAGTTAGGCACAAAAGCATCCTATGTTGATAGTCGACAGGCCATTTCTATCTTCTGCAACCCAGAGGTGGTCAACTGCGCTTTGTCCCGGCCTCGTAGAATCATTTGCAACGCTTATCACGTTCATTTGAATTTCTGCATTAGCCAAACAAATAGGTGGTTGGAAAACAGTAACAGAGGTGGCGATTGCCTAGTAGTACATCTTTTACATGAGCAGATAAAGTGCCTGTTGAGTTGGAAGCCGATATATAGATGTTCTGTAGTGTGATGAGTAGTATTGCAGTCGCCTATCATGACCCTAATATTACTTTGCAGTGGAGGATCTCTCGATTGCTAGCTATTATCAGGACCATCGTTCAGCCGCTACCCCATTTTTACAGCGCCATTCGTTGGGATCGTCGCAGCAAGTCCTGGATTGGAATGAGGAAACCGAACCCGATAAGGCGAGTGATAACAAGTCATCATGGATGACCCAACTACCAGTTGAGCTTTATCGCTGCCGCTCGTTAGCTGAGCAGCTGAGCAGCTGAAAGATGCTCTTGATAGTATGGTTTATGACAGTATGGTTTCACGGTTGTTCTTCGTTGCGCACTTAACTAACCCCCAAGAATCCAGCCCTTTTTATAGCCGACTCAAGTTCAGGTCCCAATACAGTCGATCTTTGACCAATGCTGTCTTATCAAATGAAGGATCAGGCTCACCAGCATCCACTGCTGATCGATAAACATGGACGGATGATGGATCATCTAAGTGTTCCCCGCAGTCCGCCACGGATTAGTTATCTACGGATGGTTATCTAACCAACCTCCATCCAACCTTGCCGTTTTGGTCCTGGCGTCAGAATGATTGCTTGGCTGGCCATCAATACAACATCCCTTATCACGCTACTCTATTCAAAGAAGCCGTGGGCCTAACCGTCGAATTATCAGCATAAAAATGGCGTCAAAGAAGGATATGCGGAGGCTAGACCTCGGTAAGTCTACCTCAATTGGGCCCAACGTCGATCATGAGAGCGCAGTTTCGCTAATATCAGTCCTGAACTGTAGCCATCCCCTACATCGAGCCGCCGAAGGATAAGAATGAGGCCGATATGTCAGGTACAAAGTCATTCGATTTTTGAATTTGGGAACCTTGTGCAGCAAAGGGACGATCTGGCTGATACTCCGCGTTAGGAGCGATGTCTAGCACTATGCCAATGGCCGCGGTAGGTCAAAGCTGCAGTCTCTTGGTGACGGTCTCGACGCATGCTGACTTTCTCTCCGTAGATGTTTACTCGGAATAGGTGAGAGATACCTCGTCGAGCGGGTCCAAGCTATGGTATCTGACAACTGTACGCGGCGAGCATAGGATGATTGGATGGGTCTCTTTCGTCTTCTCTCTCCAGTCGTGGCTCGGAGAAACACCCGAGCAAAAGAAGTCGGCAGCTACGCCTGCATACATGTCCGTCCTGATGTCTTGTTCGTCTCTCTCTCTTTCCCCCGCAAGTGAGCGCGAAAAATGACTGACAGCTGAAAACCTCTACAGTAATGGCGCTCGTCGTTGTATGTAACCGAAATATTGTTCCCTTTCAACCCTTCAATAGCCCGACCTATCTCTGACCACATCGCGCAGACATATTTCCCCATATTTATGCCACCTTCATCCGCACGAAGCAGCACCGCTGCTCCTTCTCCTTCGCCCTCACCTTAAAATATCGAATAAGTCGTACCGGGATCAGTCGCGAATCGCATTTCGAGGCTAGCTGTTACAAACGATATGCTACAGATTAAAGCTGAAAACTAGGGTCAAGTCAGGAGAAAATCATCTAAGTGCTCTAAATCAGCCAGGCCATGTGCCCTTGTCACAGCCGTCTTATTCCTATATATGCACGGTGTGGCATTGTGACCATATCTTTGTAATTTATGAATTCAATTTCATGTAATAATACCTTACTAGATGATGGAATGATTCCATATTCGCAAATTACCCGCTGATACATACCTGTCAGGTAACTAACTAGCTATCCCTCAAGTATAATGTGTGGTCTTCGCCACCACGTCAAGGACAAACCAACCCCAGGTCGGACTCCAGATACTTGTCGCCATCCACTGCCCGTGAAATCCATAGTACAGCTTCTATGGCCACTGAATCGTGGCCCAGTCAAAAGTGAAGAGGTTTATAAATATACCATATGCGAGGGCCAGGGTCGCTTAGTCAGTGCCACACCGCCTTCCCCCACAAGGGCGCTAAATCGAGGCGCGCCCCTCAAAAGACTCTTCTGTTCCTCTTCTATCTCTTTCTCTGACACCACCATCCTACCTTCGATCAACTCCCCTCCGTTCGCAAACTCGCAATCTCTCGCAACTACAAAGAGACATCTGATCTCTCTCCTCAGTTACTTATAATCCACCGCTTTTAAGGGCCGTTTACGACCAAAGGCCGAGTTTATGTCCATCGAAAACCTCAAGACCTTCGGTAAGTGACTTTGCCACCTCCTCTAACTACCTGCAATTCTGTCCCTTCTCCAGTCCGTTCTGGGAGAACATCACGGTGCCTTTCACAGAGTTACAATGGCACCATCTATACTCTCCTTAATGGATAATCCATCCTCATGGAGTTCCTACTTGCTTCTTCTTGTCATACGAACTCCAGAACGGTTTGGCGGGGCAGTTTCGAGGTCATGAGAGCCTAAGGCTGACACGTGCTTCTACACAGACCCCTTCGCCGAAGCTGACGAAGACACCGGCGAGACTAAACAGTCTCAGAATTACATCCATATACGGATTCAGCGTACGTCTCGTCCACATCATTTTCTCTGCCGTTGCCAATGGCAGATTCTGTTACTTTAGACAATAGTTACTAACCGTCGCCGTCAACAGAACGCAATGGTCGCAAGACCTTGACCACAGTTCAGGGTCTTCCTAAGAAGTTCGATCAGAAGAAGATCTTGAAGGTGATCAAGAAGAAATTCGGTATGTTGTTGCCAGAGCCTCCAGCAAAAATTGTATGGCTCAAACAGCTAACACTTCTCTAGCATGCAATGGCACTATCGTCAATGACTCTGAGATGGGAGAGGTGATTCAGCTGCAAGGAGATCAGCGTAAGGATGTTCAGGAGTTCTTGACCGACAAGAAGGAAGGTCTCGAGCTCGATGCCAAGACCATCAAAGTCCATGGGTTCTAATTTAGACTCGCGCCCCGTTCCAGT